AAAATTTAATTGAAACATTTGGATTATACATATTTATGAAGTACAGAGCTATATTTCAATACACGTATACAATTTGTAGTGATCAAATCAGAACAGTTAGCAAATTTATCATTGCAAAAGTGTATTTTATTGTGATGAGAACATTTAAATTCTCTTTTAGCCATTTGACAACATACGTTAGTTTACTTTAAATTATAGATGCCCAGCACCACTTACTTTGACAATATATTGAATAAAATTAATACCTGGTATTGTTTAATCACTATTTAATTCATATATTCTTTTAGTAACAATTTATTAAATGCTTACTATGTGCCAGGCACTATACTATTCACTCGACTCTTAAAATGTGAGGTATTTGTTGACTTTAACTGGCATAAAAATGGTTTAAATGCAAAAATTGTTGATATTTAAGCACACTTCAATTTGTTAAAAACGATCATGACATTCATCATGAATGGCCATTCATTGCCTAAGTATTCATCTACTAGCCACCCCTTGGCCAGCAGTCTTCAGAGCACAGGAGCTGCAGCAGCGAACAACCCAGGTGAAGTCTCTCTACTCCTGGAGTTTAAATTCTATTAGAAAAGACAAACAATAGACTAACAAACACTTAATATGCAAAGTGCTGATAGTGCTATGAATTAAAGTAAATCAAAGTAAGGGATGTAGGGTGTACTATTTTGATTGGACAGTCCTCTTTGATGAGGTTGCACTGAGCAAAGTCACCCTGGAAGTGAGGGAATAGCTATGTGGGACGTGGAGGAAGAGCACTCCTGGCAGAGTGAGGAACATGTGCCGGGAACAGTAGGAGGCAATCAGGTAGCTGGGCTGCAGGGAGTCAGAAAGCAGAAAGTCAGACATGAGGTCAGAGAGGGCCAGGGGTCACTGCTGTGAGGTGAGATAAGGACTTCAGCTTTTTTTTTTTTTTCCTTTTTGTCTTTTTTCCTGACCGGCAACGGATCGCAGCCCTCAGTGTCGCGCCCGTACCGGACCGGGACGGCAACGGGATCGCAACCCTCGGTGTTGC